CTATGACTAGATAGAAATATTGCCGAAAGTAACTTAAAGTATTACTCGTAATGGAATGTCATAGAGTTCCTTAAATCGCATAGCTTATCGCTACGCATCAATAGCGATGGTACCACGAGCGGCAGGAGGAATAGTGGAGGAGGAACGACAGGAGGCGTGGTAACAACGCGCACACTCCACGTGACCCTGTCGTTTGGAAGGCGGGACTTCAGCAACGGAGCACACAACTACAATAAGCAGTAGAACCAGCCGGTGGTCAGCGACGTTTTCTCTGTCGTCGCGCGCGCGGGACACCTCGAGCTGCGCTCGTTGCACGTACACCTGCCGCGCGATTAGGCACGCACGGTTCGTCATCCGTAACCCGTTCCGGGCGACCTTTTTTTGAGACTGCAAATTTTGAGCAGTGCCTTTCCCCCGACCTGAAAATCGGGACGACATCGACATAGCGTGATCGCCCGGGTGCCGTCGGAATCATGCACGGGAAAACGATTGACGATAACAATAACGATACCAATGACATGATTAGTGAGTGAATATACGCATGAGAGAATGAGACTCGTTCGTTCGAAACGAGTGAACATCCTCAGGATCATCGAACGTGGACTGTCTCGTCATGATGTTGGTTCCACAAGATATTATGGGTGGCCCATCGAAGATGCTGTACCAGATGAACAAGTACTACGCCGAACGGGTACAGGCTCGCATGGGCCAGGTGCAAAAAACCATACGAGAGGTGTGCAAGGTCGTACAAGATGTACTCAAGGAGGTCGAAGTGCAGGAGCCACGCTTCATCTCTTCATTGACCGAGTGTAACGGCCGCTATGAGGGTCTCGAGGTGATCTCGCCGGGTGAATTCGAGGTGGTCCTCTACCTGAACCAGATGGGAGTTTTCAACTTTGTTGACGACGGCACCCTGCCGGGCTGCGCTGTGTTGAAGCTCAGCGATGGACGTAAAAGGTCCATGTCCCTCTGGGTTGAATTTATCACCGCGTCTGGCTATCTGTCGGCCAGAAAAATACGCTCGAGGTTTCAGACTCTGGTAGCACAGGCCTGTGACAAATGTAATTACAGGGACTCGGTAAAGATGATCGCCGACACCACCGAAGTGAAACTACGAATACGGGAGCGATACGTCGTACAGATCACGCCAGCATTCAAATGTTCCGGCGTGTGGCCGCGATCTGCCGCTCATTGGCCGATACCACACATACCTTGGCCGCATCCCAATCTGGTGGCGGAAGTCAAGACAGAGGGCTTCGACCTGCTGTCGAAGGAGAGCGTCGCACTTCAAGGTAAGCAATCGGCAATGGAGGGCGACGCCTGGGTCTTGTCCTTTACGGAAGCGGAAACCAGGCTGCTACAGGGCGGTTGTCGTCGAAAGTGTCTCAGTATACTCAAAACCCTGAGGGATCGACATCTTGATCTGCCTGGGAATCCCGTCACCAGCTACCACATGAAGACGCTGCTGCTACACGAGTGCGAGAAACATCCCCTCGAGACCGAATGGGACGAGAGTTGTTTGGCCGATCGTATTAACGGCATCTTCCTGCAGCTGATATCTTGCCTACAGTGTCGGCGGTGTCCGCATTATTTCCTGCCAAATCTCGATCTATTCAAGGGAAAGTCACCAAGCGGTCTGGAAAACGCTGCGAAACAAGTTTGGAGACTTACGAGGGAGTTGCTCACGAATAGCCGCGCACTGGAGAAGCTTTAGCGTCCTCCTGCTCGAAAGCACGAGAAAAGCGCGGAACGACGAGAACAGAGAAACAACGTGTGACACAATTTTGAGATTTTTATCGCATGGAATTACGTGCTTCTCTGATACTACACGCAAACAGTATTGTATTACTGTTATTACTTAATACACGCTTGTATGAAGGGCTTGGTACATTGTTACAAATGATTCTCGACACGTAAGCCGTTTAAAGCCTGTTCTACAATAAGATCGCAAATCGTAAGCTGTAAGAAATTGACCAATCACAATTGAATATGATAAAAATAATCTATTATGATTGATTAATTTTTTACGGTTTACGATTTGCGATTCCTATTGTAGAACAGATTTTAAACTGTACTCGTTTTCCTTCAATAACAATCGCAATTTAACGAGCAATAATGATCATAGATAACTCAGGTTTTAATTTTCATTTTAATATTTAAGCAGTCGCATGGAAATCAAACGGTTATATAATTACAAATCCACCCATAGTTCTTTTATACGCGAAGCTATTATGTTTAACTTGTTTTAAAATTGATTACATTTATACAAGTGTGTGTGTTGTGTCGTAAAAATTTCGTCTATTAAATAAAATAAACTCAAATATATTTATATATTTTAGCGAACTAAATGATATTTATTTATTGATTGTTTAAAAAAAGGAAACTGTATATATAATCAGTTGTCGAATGATATCCTCACGAATACATGGAAACAATTCTATAATTTGCGATATAACGTTTACACAAATTATAGAAATTTAAAGGAAAAAAGAGCGAAAAGTATATGATCAACTAAACTACTTAAACATAGGTATATGCCGCAAGATATAATTTAATTCTTCTAATTGTTGTATTTTAATTTATACATTTGCTCCCTATAATCATTATATTAATATTTCATTTTGAATGACGTAAATTGCTATAAAATAAGCAATGCCACAGCAATTAAGCTTATAATACCCATGCGACTAGTTAAGTGCTAAGTATGGCATTCTCGATAGTTAATGTGAAATGTTATGCAATGGACACGTTGTGTAATTGATTCTGTTGAAACCTATATAATGTAGAATATTTCGTATAATTTAGTGCAATAATAACTACTCCATCTCAATTAAAACAACGAAATACCAGAATTATAATAGTAATAAGATAAAAAAATAAATTCCGAAGACAGAATGTTTTCTGAAAATTCAATGATATTCTGTATGAAACTGTATTAGCAAATGAATTTTCATTTTAAGTCTTAATGAAACAGGATCATTTTCACATTCTAGATTGTTTAAAAAGCATATAAATATATAAAACGTGTAAAACGTTTCAATAATTAAATATTATTATAATTATTTCTTCGTCCAAGCAAAATGTGATTTGTTATTCTTATTGATTGATATTTATAATCGGTTAGCAGTAAGTCCGACGGTAATTTCATTGCTTATTGTTATATGTATATATGTAGTATACATATTTTCTTTACATTATTTAAATGATTTAAATGATATTTATTTTATAATCATATTATATATATTATATATTTGAAACACACGTAAAATGTACATAATGAATAAACGCATTAATTTCTCTTCCACTAAACATTTATTTACTTTGGAAAAGATTATCCTATTAAAATCTCTTTGAGATTATGACATTTTATTCATTATTGTTTTGTAGTATTATTTAAGAAATTATACATATATATATAAACATATATATATATATATATATGTATGTATATATGTACATTTTTAAATATATATTATTCAATTAATTGTTTCGTATCAATAATTAAATTATTTTTGCTATGAAAATATTATTTTAATATAATCATATAAAATACATGTTTTTGCTAATTAAACATTAATTTCACAAATTTATTTTGAGGAGAATTGCTAAACATTTTTTTTTCGTAATTTGGTTCGTAAATTTCACATTTCGTAACATGCAATACTAAAATATGATCGTATCTACGCTAATTAACTTTCAGCAGAATAGCTTTTCTCTTACAGGAAAACATTTTTTTAATGTGCTGTATATCGATTGATACGCATGTACTATACAATTATTATGCCAAATACTTATTTAACATGTATATTATAGAAGCCTTGAACAACTCGTTGGAAGCGAAGACTATCAACTTCATTATAAACCTACCTAGAATATCACGTTCTTATCTTAATTTTATCCTTAACGTTCCGTATCTTCCTTTCCTGGTGATGACATTCGTTACCGGTGCCATTCACTTTTCTTGCTTTACTATGCGTTTGGCCATTTCCAAATACGAATGATAATTGTTATTGCACTCTAACACGAACAGTAAAGATTTCTGTTGACTGTAGAATCTCAAATTACATTTTTCACTACAAGAAATTGCAGTGTTTTTATCATTATAAGATACATTAAGATGCTACAAGATCGTTTTGTACTTTTTAATTTTCTTTATTAAAGAATACATCTTTCTTTGTTTCATATTTCATGAAGCGATATAGAAATAACGATTAGAAGATACAATTGCTTCATCAATGCTAGCAATGAATTTTTTATTGCAATTGTTATTGCCATGAAAATTGTAATTATTCTCATTTTTTTATAAAGAAATAAAAACATTAATTATTTTTCAATCGACTTGTCCGCATTTAAAAATACTTAAATTCATTTATGCTCCAAAAAAAATATTTTTCGATCATTCTTATCCAATAAGTTGATTACAATAGTTGCCTTGTAATGTCAATGCTTTGAAGATAAAATAATTTGCATCTAAAAATATTTAAATTAATTTATGCTTAAAAAGGGAGGACATTTTTTAATAAACCTAATCCCATTAGCTGATCAAGAATAATTATTATAGTCCATTGACTTCCATTTCCAATCTTTTGAAGATAAAATATCTTTGACATATGAACAGGAATTCGAGGTAACTCTATCCGGTAATACAGACACGGTTGTGGTCCACCATGTCTAAAATTTCGGAATTACTAAAGGGGCTGCAGAGGAGGTACCGTGCCCTCGTGGATGGGAAATAAACTAAGCAGTTCCTGCATAATTCATGGAGAGGAAGAAGGGCTACCACGAGGGTTGCCTCGCGTTACCTTCGTTCCCCTATCATGCTACGTTACACATAAACGCTGGAGTATCTGTGCCGGATCGATCTTGTAGGTCTGGCGCAGTTAACCACGCCCGTAAAGCGTGGCAGACCTCCGATTGGCTAAAACACCTTACCAGAAGGCGTAATCTGCCGGAGGAGGCGTGCCAGCAACGCTGTACGTTCGTGCTTGCCGCGGAGGATGGGTGACGCGGAGGAGGTAGACATCAGCGCAGTCGGCAATCTGCTCCTGCACGGAGACGCTCGTGATACCTCTTCCTCTCGCTTCGTTGGTGTCTCCAACGCGCAGTGCGTCCTGGCGAACACCAGGTGAAAAACAAATTTAACGAAACCAAACCATCGCTGGTTCACGAGCAACGAGTATCGCGGTTTTCCACAATGCGATAAATCGCGCAAGGCGGCTCGATGACAACGCGAAGCAAGGAAAAAGGCCTGGTTGAGAAGAAACGAGAATGTAATGAACCGGAGAAGCTGAAAAAAACTATATAATAACCATCCGTGGACTACAGGCGGTATACGATGTTGGTACCGCCTGATATGATTTCATCCCACTCCAGGATGGTCTATCAGTTCAACAAGTACTTCGGCGAACGGGTGATGAACAGAAAAAGTCAGGTGGCGAAAACCATTCAGGAGGTGTGTCGAGTCGTGCAGGATGTGCTAAAAGAGGTGGAGGTGCAGGAGCCGAGATTCATCTCGTCCTTGACGGATTACAACGGCCGGTTCGACGGCCTCGACGTTATCTCGCCGACGGAGTTCGAGATCGTCATCTACCTGAATCAGATGGGCGTGTTGAACTTTGTGGATGACGGCACCCTGCCGGGCTGCGCCGTGCTAAAGCTGAGCGACGGACGCAAAAGATCCATGTCCCTCTGGGTGGAATTCATCACCGCATCTGGTTACTTGTCAGCCAGGAAGATACGCTCGAGGTTTCAAACCCTAGTGGCGCAGGCCTGCGACAAGTGCACGTATCGGGATTCAGTGAAGATGATTGCTGACACGACCGAGGTGAAGCTGCGGATACGCGAGCGATACGTCGTACAGATTACGCCAGCTTTTAAGTGCGCCGGACTTTGGCCCAGATCAGCCTCTCATTGGCCGATCGCACACATACCCTGGCCTCACCCAAACATCGTCGCCGAGGTGAAGGCGGAAGGTTTCGATATGCTCTCGAAAGAATGCATAGGCCTACAGGGCAAACAATCTGCCATGGAGGGTGACGCTTGGGCGTTGTCGTTTATCGACGCGGAGAATCGATTGTTGCAAGGTGCGAGTAGGAGGCGTTGCCTCAGTATACTGAAGACTCTCAGAGACCGGCATCTCGACCTACCAGGGAATCCAGTCACCAGTTATCACATGAAAACCCTATTACTGTATGAGTGCGAGAAACATCCGCATGAGGCGGAATGGGATGAGGGTTGCCTGGCCGAGCGAATAAACGGCATATTTCTGCAGCTAATCTCCTGCCTGCAGTGTCGCAGATGCCCACATTACTTCCTACCGAATCTTGATCTGTTCAAGGGAAAATCGCCCAGTGGTCTGGAAAACGCCGCGAAGCAAGTATGGAGACTCACCAGGGAGTTGCTGACGAACAGTCGCGCGTTGGAGAAACTATAGTGGCCGACACGGCTGTGGTTGATCATCGTATGATTCGAACTAATCTCGCAAATTTTATCACACGTTCCTGTAACTGCAGCGTTGAAAGACTTCGACGCGCGAATAAAATACTTCTAATCATACAATGACCGTACAAGGACTACGCGAGAAATCATCGATTAGAGAATAGTGACGTAAAACAAACTCTCGGGCTTAAGAAAAACTTTTGATTCTTATCGTTATTCAACGTATTGCCAAGTCGTCAAGAAGATCTGTATTTTCCTGGATTTCGCAGATCACACATGTTATCAATGTTCTCCGAAGATATTCTGTGTGTGTTGTAAGAAGCAATCCTCGCGAGATTTATTATGCGCGTATGTGATGTTTGGTGAACATGTGATTGACTCGCAGACGATCGAATTAGTGCCATAAATAATCTCTTCGACGTTAGAGACAGATTTCGTTTCTACTGTCGGCGCGAAATAAAATAAATAAATATATTATAGCCGCAAGAAAATTATCATTCAATTCGTTGCAACGGCGGTTTGCAACGCTGTAACAATGCGCGTGAAACAACCTTTAACTAGTAGTACAGAAATCTTACTATCGAGCGAAAAATCTATTATTCTTCGCGATTAACTCTTTAAGATCTTCAAGTTACGACGACTATTTAAAGATAGAATTTTCTAATAACGAAAAGTATTTCTTATATCATTTTTCTTTAATCATTTTAAAATATGATACCTTTTTATTTCAAAGTAATACGAATCTTTAAGCTTAAGACTGCAAACACTGCCATATCGACACTTAAAGAGTTGACGCGACTAATCAGTTTTAATAACGTTTTCTCAACATGCTGATTAGAATGTTCGTTCTGTAGTTTTTGTGATCGCGACTACGGTTAAAGGATTAATCTCTTAAGGGTTTCTCTCTTAAGTCCCTCGCGCAATCTCCGCCGCCTATGTAAATAAAATTTGAAAGATATTTATTGAACTGTAACGAAATGTGAAATATAATACTATTTATATGGATGCCTGGTCGCGTCGGTTGATGACACATCATGCACACCCACTCCTTACCCCACAATGTATCGTTCAAAAAATCGGTCGTCGTAAATATCGTTGTACTCCGTTGATAGTCAACCGCGCGACGATCGTTAAACGTTTTGCTCGCGTTGAACGCGCAACTGAGTCAGAGCAAGTTGAGTCTCGTAAATTTTAAAGTCGCTCTCACACTTTTTTGTCGTTTGCGTTGCCAATGGGGATCGAGGTGAGGAGGAGACACTCTGGAGAACGCCATCCACACGCACCTTTTTTCGCGTTCCGACGCCTAGCGACGGCAAACGACCCGCCCGACATTCGATCGTCGCAAGAAAACAGAACATATCGTCACGTTGATAGAAAAGTGAGACAAATAAAAATTAGTATTAGGGTTACAGTATCCGAATTTTGAAAACTTATAACTATAAGAAAGTTTAAAAAAATATATGTAATTGAAAGCATAACACGGAAAAAGGTAAAGTTATTTATTATCTTAATTAAAACGTTCCAATTCAGAACTTTTAGTATACGCGATGATTTTCGATCCTGTACTACATGTATTAGGTTGATTATGTCCTGGGTTAATTACTTTTCATTACTTTTACAAATATACAAAATGATTCTTACATATACATATAGTATATATTTATAAAATATTCGTAAAGGCGTATTTAAAAAAGAGAAGAATAGAGATCATTATTTAATCAGATGTTCCTAATATTTCAAAGAGAAGAATGCACAAGACAAGTATGATCTAATTGTGTATACTAAAAGTTAAAAATGATCTGGTGAAAAATTGCTCTTTGTTGAAACTTAGAGATGTATCACTTTCTGTCAACGCGATTATATATTTAGCGTTTCCACATATTTTTATCGTCTGTGGGATAATCGGTTTTTCTAAAGACTACTGACATACCAAGGTTAAATGACTCACGACATGCACTAAATACAAGTAGTAGAAGATTTTTATGAAAAATTATTTATGAGTTTTATGACAATGATCGTATACGCGCGTAAAAATTGCCGGTTATCTCCTCGTCGATTTCGTTTCTCTTCGACACGGGTCTATAATTACCATCGTCGTTCCTTTTGTTTTTCAACTTAACTAGCCTTCCTTTTTGATAAGCTAATTGGACCTTATCTCAATGTTTTACCGCGAACTTATAAATGCGACGGCCCACGGTCTACGTAATAACTTGTAGCGAACCGGACGGGTTTTAAACAGCTACTCCTAACATGAAGAAGAGCACCGTCCTTGTATAGAAAGTGCAAGAAAAAGGAACGCATTTAGTTGATAACCAAATGGCCTCTTGAGAATTATATTACGCGTCGTTTAAGTGTTATAAGCGCAAGGATAAAGTCTTATTACAAATAAGATATTATTTCATAAAATATTATCTGAATACTACGGAACTGATTTTGCATGTTCAGTTGTTATATTGAACCTTTATTGCTTTACAATTAATAATTGCAAGCTGGTTATATAATTAACAATAAATATGTCTATACTGTATCAAAAAAGTGTAATATACTTTTTTCTAAGGATCAGTAGTCAGAAATTTAATTAATTTTTCATCAAATAATACAAAAAATCTTAATTTTCTTAAATAAGTAACGTAATAATATAAATAATGATATTAGCAATCTGAGCAGAAATAAACTAGATTGCTAGCTACGGGCGATAGTTAACACGTAAGGCAATCATGCGAAACGTAGCTCGTGCAAGATCATTTACAATTAATGGATATTACGGCACATTTCGAATCAGCCGCCGTGTGAACACATGTTTCAAAGACATTTTACTCAAAGCCTAAAAGGAAGTAACAAATGATTTCGCACGCGTAATAGATTTGAGACCGCGCGTTCGTTGTAAAGACTCATCCCTGCTGGCATAAACGACCTTACAACTGGCATTCATTCAACAATTAGTAATAATTGTGTTTACCGTACGTACATCAGAGAAATTTCAAATATACCCGTCTTTGTACATAATCTTTGAGAATAATCTCTGTAAGTAATGGATGAGCTTTTCCGCCTCATACAAATAAAATTTTTTTTAGCGCGAACATTGATTTCATAATCTGACGGATATCGATATCTGAATTAATCTATTACATAGCACAAATCATATAAAGATAGTCAATAAAAATAAAATTACAAATCAGTTATCAACAGTAATAAAATGTATATACGAGAATATAAAAAAATTATGCTTGAAGTTATTTGTACAGAGATATAAAACATACAAGTTGTATAAATATAAAAGAGAATATTATTAATATCAAGATCTTGATTCAGTATGTATGTAAGTACTTTCTTTTATTTTTTATGAATGCAAAGATAATCAACTATTGAATAAAAGTTAAATCTGCAATTAAATTAGTAAAGCGAATAAAGCAAGTTACTCGCGCAAATTACTTGGAATTATCTTTCAAAAACATGGAAAGTTACATTACATTAAGAAGATGATTCGTTCGATAATATGTAAGGAAGTGAAATTTACATTGTAATAGTTCCCGTAGATTGAATTCATATAGCATGTTATTAAAAAGAAAAAAGTATTCAAAATACGGTTTTGCCGAAATAAATGGATGCTAAGATACCGATCTGGAAATAATTTTGTTGGACTAGCAAAATAATTATCACAAAATAATTATGTAAAACACTTAAATATTGATACTGCAAACAATTTTACAACATTCAATAATCGGCGCTCAGTTTGTTTAAATGAAAAATTGTAAAATTCATGCAACAATATTATTAGATATCAAGATCTGCTTTGATTACTTTCGCTTATTTGTTGAATATTTTATCATCAATTTTCACTTCCTTGTCGAAAAAAATTTTATCAAATCATCAAAATAATTGCATAAGAAACTAAAATATGATGAGCAAAACATTTTGACATTCTAACAATCTGGAACGCTTGTAATTATTTTGATAGTTTAATAAAATTATTTTCAAAGTTATATCTAGCTAAATTTTCAAATATTTTAGCAAAATCGTTTTTTCTGTATAATATATCTTATTTTTCATTCGTGCAGGAAAAATTAATTTCTTCTACCAGTTACATATAATGACTTCATTAGAAATCCTTTGTCAGTATCCAGTTACATATAATGACTTTATTCGATATCTTATGTTAGAGAATTCCTCTCAAATATATCAAATATATCGAGTACACAGAGTAGAAATAAAAATTTCACTGTTACTATTAGATTTACTTTACGTTTCATAGCAACGAATAATAAAACGCTTCGTACGAATACTTTGTGCAACGTAATGTTTTTAAATTTCAAATAACACGTGCTAGTTTGCACATCGTAACTTCGCGAGGTGACTACAAATTCGACCCGAATGCGCGATGACTTGTATGAACAAATTTACATGCTTATCGGTTTATCACCGTAACTTCCAAGGCGTCTGACAGGCAACTGCTTCGTAAACCGTAAGAACAACAAAAAAGCCATAACTGATTAGAAATGAAGTAATTACAATAAATTATTATTCATAACGACAAAGTTAGTCATTAGGCTTGCTGACAACGATAATAAAATACGATCGCTGTCAATTAAATTATATGAGTCTATTAATAATATTGTTCTCACATTGAAAAAAGAATTGCATTAATTGAAATTCTTGGAAATGGACAAATCCGGAATTTTAATCCGGTTAAATCTATATTATATATTATAATTCTAGTTGAGATAACTGGAATTTTGATTAACGTGATCAGAATTTTCTGGTTTGCCCGATTTCAAAGAGAAACTTTTCTCAATGCAGAATGTTGATCATTTGCACTTTTAATATTTTTCAGTTCAATCACTGCCTGCCAATAACTGTCGGCCAAGAATTTATTCCCGTTTAACATGTGATCAGCAATGCAGGATAGGTATTTTGTGATCAATAATTTACTCATTTCATTGACAAAATATAACTTAAAAACCAGAATTTGCTAAAACATTAATTATATGCAAAATTTAGGTAAAATAAGTTTTCATATATAATGGTTTTCACATATTATGTAGCATAGCTAATGTGATGAACAAAAGATGTTATCGACAAAAGACTCAATAATGCTTTTTAAGTTTTTAAGTTATGACATATCAAAAGTGTAAAAATTTGTGTTCACAAAGGACCTT